TCATTACGTGGGCGGTGCGAGTAGCAACCCAAACACACAAAGGAACACACAACAGAGGAGCACACTCAAACACCTACAATCCATCAATCTTTATACCAAAATAAAAATGTAAAAAAAGAGTGACTGCGTGAGGCAGACACAATAATAGAGCAAAGATGTAAAAGAAAAAAAGAAATTCATTACTTAATGTGGCTGCGATGCCTGGACACAGTCCAATCCACTTCAAGGCGAACAACGGAAAATCATTGTGTACTGAACGTGCCGTACCCATATCTTTATTCTTGATGTCCATGCAGCAGTTTGTATATAATGAAAAAAAGAATCATTCCATAAAAATGAACACACAAGATACACAAGGTGTATCGGAAACGCAAAAGAGAAACACACAGCTGCACACAAAACGTGCAATGAAATTATAATGAAACACACACAAAAGGGAAAGCAAAATAATGAAAACAAACAAAAAGAAAGCCGTGATCACCATGTGAATATGTTCAGGAGGCAACCAACACAATTCCCAACAGTAGGTGTGTCTTTCGTACAGGGCGAGCAATGGGAATGATGCACACATGATGACAGTCCACACACACAAAGAGAAGGAAGGTTGGTGGTGTGTGTGTTTGTGTGTCTTGAACCTCCTGCCATTCTTCACATTACAGTCACAGCAATTACAATATTATTGGGATTGTATCTCATTCCCAATGGGTAAAAGCAACAGTTAGTAATATCACGGAGCACACACACATCACCAGGAGGACACAGTAAATGACGGCAAANTTGAACCTCCTGCCATTCTTCACATTTCAGTCACGGCAATTACAATATATTATTGGGATTGTATCCCATTCCCATGGGTAAAAGCAATAGTTATTAATATCACGGAACACACACACTTCATCAGGAGACCACAGTAAATGGCGGCAAAACAGAGCCCAGATAATAATGCCAACAAACAAAGAGGACACTCCCCTTACAAAATGATGGTTTGTCATGTGATGAGTGCCATAGGGAGTCCAATAGATGTGTTCACCAAAAAAATGCAAACAAGAGATTTATCGTGCTGAAAAAAAAGGCTGATATCCAATCAAAAAGAACAGTGCCCTTACAATGCATTCATATCCACTCAAATAAAGGTTAACTGTGCAACTGTGCCATGGGAACACCGATCAGCACATGAGAGAGCAACCCAAAACACACAAGAGAACAAGAAGCAAAATGGGACTGTGCACCAATGCAGGACTGCTGTTGTTGTCCGTCTCTTTCTTTGCCGTTCTCGCCAGTTCATCTTCTTTAGCCTTTCTTGCCTTCTCTTCTGCAGCCAGTTTCTCTTTCTCCAGCCTCGCCTTCTCTTCTTCGATTCGTCTTTCTTCCTCGGCGTCTCTTTCATCCTCTGCATTCCTTTTGGCTTTTTCTTCATCAGCCCTTCTCTGTTCTTCTTCATGTGCCCCATTCCATTTTTCTCTGATGGTCACGAAGTCAGGTCCGTCCTCAGTTATATCAGTGACACTCATTTCCGAGATTCTTTCAATATCTCGTACTTGAACTTCCCCATAAAACATAATCCTTTGTACCTCTTCAGTTACGTTTGTGTAATTGGGTTCTGGTGTTTTATCTCTTAGCATACGAATCACAACTTCGAATGCGCCTTTCGCCTCCATCAAGGTAAGGTTGGCATCTTTCACTGTCTTGCGACTCTTTTCAACCAGTGCAGTGAGATTTCCAATGAGATGTGTCACCACCTCGTTTGCTCCACTCCCTTGTCGTGCGAGTCTTAACCTTCTCGGCGTCTCTGTTGTACTATCAAGCAAATTTGGAAAGTTCTGTGCATCTTGCCGCAGTGGTTCCGCCACTTCTTT